GAACACATTATTCTCCACAGCCTCTTAGAAACAATGTAAATGTGCTCTCTGACATGTACTGTACCCTTTCCTCATTCAGAAACTAAGCCCTGGATAAGGAAAATCTGAGACTAAGGGTGAATCCGAGTCAAGAAGCTGTTTCTAGAAAGCAGCCTGCACTGGAACGTTTCCTGAGGATACTGGGCATGTAGTCCTTTCCTCAGACAGTGAAGGAAGGGGACTTCTGCTTGGGTTTGTGCTCATAGGAAACTGGATGTGTGGTCAGGACTTCCACAATGAAGTGTTTAGAAGAGGATAATAAGAGGTTAAGGATGATATTAAAAAGTTTGAAGAATACTTTAATATTATAAACCAAAGTCTAAAGGTCAGAGCAAGAAAAGTAGCAGGGTCTCTGACACCATCATAGGGACCAAATTTAATAGGACTAGACACCACAAAAACTTGAGCACCAAAAGTCTAAGTTTATCTCAGGTGAAGGCTCTTTGAGTCCTGCTTCCTGAGGTTAATCTGTCCTGAGATTTTTGTTTTGTTGCATTTTTTGTTCCTTTCACAGCAGAAGGAAAACATTATAGTTCAACGTCTTAGATATCAACAACACAAATATTACAGGAAAATTCAATCACATAAAACAGAGAACTGAAGAAGCCACTTCAGCTGACATCCAAACAGGGAAGCCACCACTACAGTTTTCCAATGGTTTGGATGGAAATCACAGTCCAGCTGGTGACACCTCAGTTAGCTGTTAAATTTAGTGTACAATTATTATCAATTATCTAATATCCCTAAGAACACAGGGAAAGCTCTCTGTGAGTCAGCAGAGCTGCACTCAGAGCTTACTGCATCTATAAACATCTCTCGCAGTCAGCACAACTATAAACTCATAAGCCTACTGGCTTTGAGGGGGATCATAAAGTGCAAAGCACTTCAGAGTTTTTGACAAAACAAATTACCTTTGCTAAACTCTGTGAGCAGAAAAAGGTAGAATATCTGAGTTCTCAGTGTCAAACAGTTTTCAGTGCTGACATTTACACAACCAACAAGATGGGCAGATGCAGACTACTTCCTCGTAACCCAACACAAAACTTTTGCTAGATCATACCTCTTCATTGTAATACTTATGAAGTTCAGAAGCATTATATCAATAAATCATGGTTTCATGCCACTTTCTGTAAGACTGCATACCTTCTGGAGGGATGCATCTTCAATTTTGAGGCTCTGGAGGTAGCCCTTATATTCCAGCTCAGAAGCCTGTGGGGGATTTATGAATACTTCACACTTGTTTAGTGAGGCTTACATTGTAAACAATGTGAACAGTTCTTGTTCATGAAATCCTGAAGCACCTTCAATAAAGCTGATGGAGCCTTGATGATGAATTCAAGGCACACATACACACAGAATAATCTGTCCTTGTTTTCTCCCAATTTCTTCATTCTCCCAGTGCATTCAGAACTGACAGTCAAGACACCTGACTCAGCTAGGCATGGGCACAGGCTGCTCAGAGAAGCTGTGCATGCTGCAATCCTGGAGGCTCTGAAGACCAGTTCAGATGAAGTCTTGGGCAGCCTGATCTGGTGGGTGGCAGCTCTGCTGCTATCAGGAGTTTGGAATCAGATGGTCTGTAAGGTCCCTTCCAATCTAAGCCATTCTATAATTTTTGATAAGATCAATGTTATTATCTTGAATTTTTTTTTTTTTAATCTAAAAATCCCATTTACAAGAAGAAAAAAAATGACACAAACCCAACATTTTAAGATGGAATTTAACAGTATTATCTAATTCACAAGCTCCTGCAAAAGGAAATGAAGTATGCAGGAGTCAATGTTCAATGTGCAATGCTCTCACATACAACCAACAGGAACAGCGGCTTTCTCTTTCAAACATCCATGTTCCTATCAGTGTTTATTCAGACATACTTCACATTTAACATAAACTTTAATATGGTAAAGATTAATTTCATTTCCACAAAAATGTTTGCATCTACAGCATGTGCCTTTCCAAATCTTTACAATCTAAACTGGAATACTTTGGATTTTGGAATCATTCTGCTGTTAGGCAGACTTCTTCAAACTTGGATCTACAAAAGCAATTGATCTACAAAGACTCTTTTGTATCAACCAATTTATCTGAGCTACAAAAACTTGGAGAGTGCAGCTGTTGGTTGCAATACTCTTCTTACATTAGCCTTCACTGTTGAATTTGGGGTCATGTTATCTAGCAAGGGACTACTTTGGCAAGAAGCAGTAGATACACTGGAGTAAGCTCCATTTTGTACTTCTGCTGCTTCTTACACATCCTCATTTGGTCACTGCCAAAGTCCTACTCCTGGGCTGGGAAACACCTTGGCAGGATGGATGTTTCAAAGTACAGAGCTATTTTAACCCTTCACTCCTGAAAGCATTTAACTTCTTCAAATTCTTACTCATGTGTGTTTTAATTCTTCATGCTCCT